TTCTCATTTAAAAAGTAATAAAAAGTTGAAGTACAGAGAAATATTTGAAATGTGGCAGGAATTCTTTTTTAAGAGTACTTCTGGTTTATATTATCTAGAGCATCTCAATGGAATAGCTTTGTATTAATAATATCTCATCTATTATGTATATTGCAATATGCCTAACAATTGCTGAAGTAATTAGATGCTGCTAATTCTTCTTTCTTCCCTTTTCTGAGTAGATAAAGAGATTAGAAGAGTAGTTTAGAGCAAAGTATATGTTATATTACACACTTCCCACAGATGAGCAGTGTCAGACATTATGTTTCTCCTTTTTTTCACTTCTACCTAAAAATCTATGCTCTTCTTGAGCTCTTCTTCTCTTCTTCTCCATTTTAATGTCTACAGACAGCATTGTATCATGGCATCATTGCATTATTTATTTTTTATTATTTAATATTTCACTAGAATTCCATTCTTCAACTTTAATCTAGTCCTATTTTAAAGGTGCAAAATAAGGAAGCTGGGGAATGAAGAAGTAGCTGAATTTTTAGTCTGAAAGTTCTGAATTCATCTGGATCAAAGAGTCTTGATTTATCCTGTCTATAATACACTGACCAAATTTTGAGATGCCTTTTTTTCTGACAGATATTGCATAAAGCTTGATCATTAATAATTACTTTAAACCTTTTGTAAGTATTTGAAAAGTCATTTGGAAAAATGCAGAGGATTTAGAATTAAATCTGTGAGCCTTCGGCTGTTTTAGATTTTTCCCCACTGAGCCTCCATAAGAGATTCCCTCTGTTAAGTGATCACTAAAGCAATTGTGTACTGCTTAACAGAGGTGCTATTTTCTACTTCATGTGTCTCCCTATGAATTGTGCAAGAGGCATTAGAGAGCCCTGTCTTCCACCGAACACATAAAAAGGCATAGCAGAAAAAGCTTCATGGATTTATTACATTCTCTATGCATTGCCTTTCTGGGAGAGAGGGAGAGAATTGGCAGCGGGTCGTGCTGCGGAGCAGAGTCTGCAAGGACACAGGAAAATCTTTGCTAACCCCCAAAGATTTTGAATAGCTCCGTACAGCAGTCTTCACTATGATGAACATATTTTTCAGGCACTGCATTGAGGGGACTTTAGAGAAACACACTGCAGTGTCTCATTCCTCTTTCTGTCAACCTTATGTCCACAATTTCCAGATTGAGGGAAGGAGGGCAGGGAGTGAAGCCCAAGGATGCCCTGGGAGGAGGCAGGTTGCAAATATCCTTCCCAATGGCACTTCCTAGTGTACCTCCCACCACCAGCTGAGGACTTCCTATGGCATGATGGCAATCCCATTGGGAAGAAGTATGACTCTTCACCCATGGCAGGCAGCCTTGTTTGCCTACTGAGGAGTATATTTCCTAAGGAGTCCTCTGGCAAGCAGCCTCAATGTAGTTGGCAGGGAGTGATCAAAAGTAGGCAGAAATGAAACGAAATGCTTTTTGTCACTTGTAGCTGGGTAGATGATGCTAACCTCGTCCTCGTTCTCTAGTGCTTGATCCACGTTCCAGATCTCTACAAACAGTAGCCTGTTTAGGCAACTGGCTCAGGCCATGTGTCTGTTGTTGCATGCCATGAGTACCGTAGCAGCTGAGGAACCATAAGTGCAGTGGCAAAAAAAAAAGCACATTTCTAATAGAAAGATTCTGTGTTATTTTCCCTTGTTCAAACAGCAAGTCACATGGTGTTGACGTAGATTAATTTTAGCTGACTTGGAGGAAAAAAGTGAAATAAAGAAACTGTAAGGGGATATAGAATCTTGTTGAGAAAGTTGTGTATATCATGTTTTGAAGGTTCTTCCAACTTCAGTTGTCATAGAGTTCAGCATCGCTCTCTCCAATTTCAAACAAAATTGAATCTGAGCAGTTGCTGAGCTGTGTACATGATGCATGGTGAGTTGTTTTTCCACATGCAACTGGAGCTTTATGGATCTGTCTGTTGGGCCTGGCCCTCTGAAGAGCAGCTGTAATTGGGGAACTGCTCTGCTGAAATACTATGATCTGCTTCACGATTGTTTTCATTTGGGGCAAAAATTCAACCACTGACATTATTAGGCTGAGCAACATAAGGCCTAAGTACTAATCTGAGGTTTCTTAGTCAGTTCTTGACTTCTCAGACCTTCACTGTTTTGCCATCTGCTATAATTGAAAATTGCCTTCTGCAACCAAAGGGAAAATCTAATTTCTCAGCAAGCCATATGGGGTTATTAAGATCATTAAACCCTAGTATGCCATAATGCCTGGGCCAAAAGGACCACAGGGCATGTAAATATTGTGTGATTCGTTTTATAGCTTCAGATTGCAAGATAGGAATTATTTTGATGGCTATCTTATCATGAAAAATGGTGGTCAAGTAGGTTACCACAGATGTTGCTTGGTGAGGTGAATCCATGGCACGTTTGTTCAGAGCTGTGATGGATGCGAAACAGTTTTTAACAGTGTTTGATTGCAAAGGGTAAATCTTTTGTATCAGCCTGACAAATGATCAGAACCTAGCCAGTGTCCTCAATTGTACCAGCGATGCTAAAGGCAGCCTTAAATTTTGGTATTAAGAAACCAGAGAATACAATTTCCACTCTTCAGGAGGACCCAGACTTGACTTCTCATACAGGATCTAAATCTGATGATATAAATTGTACTCCCTTTCCTTTCTTAAGAATGGGAAAGCTATTCCCCTGAAGATGTCTGTTCTTGAACACTTTAAAACCGAGCTGCTGGATTTCTTTATTTTCTCTCTTTCTCTAGTTGTGATATTTTGTAAGGTTTCTTCCTAGCGAATTCCACTTCTCTATATTTGATACAACTATGTGCAAGAATATTACAGCTGATTTTTGGTTAATAAGGCTTCAGAAATGAATGCAGGAGCTGTGGAATTTACATGAAATTAAAGAAAGAATAGTTCAGTAAATGCAAATAAATGCAGAAATGAATATTTTAATTTGGATTCGTGATTAATGCCAAAGGATTACCAGCAAACCATTACAATGTGGTGATGGCATGAAAACTCAATGGGAATAAAAATTCTATATGCACTAGTTAACTGATGGCAGTAAGCTATTTTTAGTCAGAGAGCTCAGAGTAATTTATTTGTTCTTTTTGAAAAATATAGCCATTGATTATATTTCAAGGTCTGTCTTTATGTTAATTATGTCTAAGAATATTTTTACTGGTATACTATTGTGTCAGTTCCTGCACTTTACAGTGTGACAACCATGGTCAGTAGATTTATTCCCATTCTGCAGGTTATTAAATGAATTATACTGAAAATGGGCATTACTGATTGCCACTTTTCTTTGTGCTACGTAACTAAAGGAGTTAAGAACAAATTGTTATAATTATAGATGAGAGAGTGAAGAATTTTTCCCTACTTCAGTTTTCCAGTGATCTCAATCGAACTGCATTTATTTTCACTCTAGGTCATAGTTGCTGTAGGTCATGGTTTCTCTTTTAAGGCAATTGAAACCAAAGCATGTCTGAATAGGCTTTCCTTTCTCTAGCACCGCGTTCAATACATCTTACTATTTTGAAATCAAAATAACTTGAAAGAGGTAAAGAGAAGTCTTTCCTGTTCTAGTCCTATTTATACTGTCCAAATATCTTTCTTCTTCTTTTAGTGTTCTTGGAAATCACAGGTGGAATAAGAGAGAGATCATGAGTGCTTTTGCAGAAGTTGGGAGTCCAGTCAAAATTTATAAATAAATATTATTTTTTTCCTACCATAGTCTTTGAGAAACGATGAAAAAATGTGGTTGGGTTTTAGTTTGCATGAGGAAAGCATTTTTTTTTGTTGTTTTTTTATTAATTTATTTATATTGGGAATCTGTCTCCCCCATTTCCTATGCTTTGAGTCACCTAATGGAATACTCCACCTGAAAGGAATACAGTTTGTGTGACCACTAGATGTGCCCTGGGAGAGCTCCTACTGTTCTCTAACCACTCATGGGCATTCAGACCTCCAGCCCAGATGGCACTTGGGACTAGTGTGAAGGATGCACTCCCACAACATGGATAGGCTTTGGGTAGGCGTGGCTTTACAGAAAAAAAGAAGCTTGGGAAGAGGGTGAGGACGAGTAAGGATGGGAGACAAAGACCTTGTCATTAAGTCAGGATTCTCAGACTTCCCTTGACTTTGCACGTAGCTAGGTGAACCTGCTGCCATGATGGCATTGCATTCCTCTACCAATACATTATTCTTAACTGCTGTCTCCTGTACATTAGGCACAAGCAAGTGCCTCCTCTTTTGTTGTAGCTACTCTTTTGTAGTTACATTTGAGATGATTGTATGAAAAAATCCTCACCCTGCAGTAACTGCAACATCCATCCTAATGCATCTCATACAAAGGAAAAAATGAACAGAAACCTCAGTAATGAAGTGTTGCTGGCAGGACATGCACATGCTTAACAGAAACTTTCATTATGTCTGAATGCTAATTAAAGACAGCACAAACCCAGTAAAATCCTAACTTATCTGAAACTAATGGGAATTTCGTCTCCACCGCGTGGAAGTTTTGTTTCTGGCTTCTTTATGCATTGCTGGTGGTGCTGGGCTTTGATGTGGATCACAAGTGAGCCCATGAGGAGTTATGAAATGAAAATAATTTGAAGCCATCCCTGACCTAGTCTGGCTTGAAAAAGATCAAGAGCTCATAATATTGTTACTGTTGTATAAGGCTGAGCATGTTTATGTTTGTCGAGCTTCAATCTTAAGGGTACCGTTAACTATGTACGTGACTCACCTGCTATCCTTACCTACTGCATTATCAAAGCAGTAAATGTATACATGGCTATTGTGGCTTAATGCCTCAAATTTTGAGAATTAGTCCCATCTAAACATCACTGCCATGTGTAAGTTATGTTTTATTGATTCCTCTTTTCTTATTAGTAGACTGGTTCTTCTTGCACAGGATTTTTTTCTTAGTCTTTGTTTAATTTTTTTATTTCAGTCTTAGCAGTATATCAAATCAATATTTGTTTTTACCTGTGTGAATGATTCAGAGCCTCATCAGGCTTCTTCAGTTTTAAGCAGCAGATTACAAGCTTTGCCTCAATAAAACTGGCAATACTGGAAATATCTTCTGGAGATGATTCAAAGGGATGTTCTATAGCGAAACCATTATTGCAAAGCTGTATAAGAAACAAAAATGTTATTTACTAATGTTATAATACACTTTTTCTTAGATAGAAATGCTTTTTGTAACTGATGAATGCAGAAAATTGACTTCTAAGTAAAATATACCCTGACTTTAACTAGAGTTAGCACTACAAAAATCAGTACAAATACATGTGAACATAATATAAAATGCAATGTCATCTTCCTGGAAGCGATGGTCAAAAGAGCAGATAATAACCGAAAAAAATGAAAAGCACTGCTGGGAAAGAAACTATGTTTTTCCCCATTTTCAGAAATATAAAGGCTCAACTTGAGGCTCCCAAAATCTGTGACTGTCTTGAGGCCGAAGGAGGAGTCTCAGGCAGCTATTTACTTATTTCTGTAAGGCAGTGGTGAGCTCTGCCTTGGGCTCTGCTGCCTTTGTCTCACGGGTAGGACAGTGGAGGCAAGGAAACCAGATACTCTCCCCCTCATCTAATGAGAGGGCTCATCCCTCCAGAAAACTGCTATAGAAGGTAAAAAGGATGAGCTCAATCATCTTTTCTATTTTCTTGAGCTGTATACAATTTAGCAGAGAGAAACATGATATTTTCCGTTAAAAAAAAAAAAAAATACTCTTTTCCTGATGGATATAGCCTGCTGTTCATCACAGCTAGTGACATTCTCATTAAATAACATTCTATTTCTTAATGTGCATCATTAGATTTAGATAACCCAAAACTCTGTATCGTTTCAGAGAGTCCTCAGCACTGATACTGGGCAGAACTATGTTGGGTCCTCAAATCTTCTGTTTCATTAATCTATGGGCAACCTGATGTTGTAATGCCAAAGAGTAGTAAAAATTAGTTTTTAGTTCTTAAGAAAATTCAACTGTAAGCAATTAGACACACCTGTAAACCAATATATTAAGTCCAAGAGCCTTGTCTTTAAGGACAATAACCATATAGTTCTACTAACGAAAATACAATTGAATGTCCTTTGCTTGGATAAACATCTCTAACAGGATTGCTTAGTGTGCAATGATTTCATCTAAGTGACTTTGCTGTGCATCAGCTTTAAAAGCAGATTTCTAATGAAGACTAAGAAATTAATATTTGTCTAGTTTATGTGCTTAAACTCTTGGATCACACTGAGACCAGCGCTGAGGACCCTTACTGCACAGATATGCAACTGCAGCCTCATGCAGTTGAACGTGGCGTCTGTTTTACATGGGGTATAACCAAGGGACTCCCACTTGAGTCCAGTTTTGCCAGTACCAAAGCTTTAAAATGGAAGGAGGGGTAACGGGCCTGTTTGTCTAGCTCCTCATCGCTAAAGAGCTTAATTACAATAACTAGTTTTTTGTGCCTATGTAGTTAAAAATTAAGTGGTTGATCTTTAAGACGTGCAATGCCAACTCAGCAGTTTGAGATCCCTTTTTTTTTTTTGAAAGATTTAATCTTTTAAAGAGCTCTTCTCTATATGCATCGTTCTTCCTGTGTGTGATCCTTGAAAGTAAGAAGATGCACATCCACACTTAGCACCCATGAAGCTAATCCTACCTTTAAGATTTTCGTGCATTGGTTAGAGATCATCTCAATTCTTTACAGGTAACAAGGGTCATTCAAGGAAGTGACTCTGTAGTTCAGATGTGATAATTTTTTTTTCATGTCCCTTCTCTGTTGAGTGAAGTTACACAGTGTATATAATAACACCCATACATTTAAGATTTTCTATCATCTTGTTATCAGTAGAAGTTATAAATCAGAGAATTCCTCTTTTCTAACTTTGCTCATAGCACCATATATATCTGCTGAAGTGTCTCTATGGATAAGACATGCTATATGTAGCTAAAAGACCCAGAGAATTATGTTCACATCAGTGAACATAAAAGTATCATCAAGTTTTTCTGTAATAACACTTTTCAGCTGAATTGGCCATGCTGTGACCTTTGTTAAATTTATGGGAATGCGAGATTTGAGGCTACTCCTTGGACTTTCAAGTTCTTGAATGATTGTGAGAAGAAAAGAATCATTTAGGGATCCCTTCAGTGTAAAGTGCCGCAATTCAGAATTTCCTCGAGCCTTACTGCTGATATGAAGAGTTATGTTTAGACCTGCATAACCCCTCAGTTATCTTTGACAAAAACCAAGACGTGAGTCTCTTTAAACCGTATCTGAGCAGATAAGGTTTCAGAAAATATGTTTAAGGACAGCAAAGATTGGATTCTGCCGGGTCTTCTCTAAGAAATCTCAGAGTAAGAGTTCAAAGAAACGAATAATAACTCAATCTTTAATCTCACAGTCAGAGCAATATTTTAAAGGGATGCACCTGTGCTTGGGACCATCTAGGTTTTATACTTTTTACATACTAAACTCTGTCTTGATTTTTGTGTAGCATTTCCGCAGTGGGTCAATGTGCTTGAGATGGACCTCTCCGCACTAGTGCCATACAAACAGCAACGTGCACCAAAAGTAAGATTCAACTTAATTTTACAGAAACAGGTCCTTCTGTGTTAAGCAGAAAAGTTGTTATGAATATACAAAACAGCTCTAGTGGCTGGTATTAGTGAGATGCACAATTAAATGTACTCACTGGTATAAGGGACTTTTTTGATAGCTATATAGACACCACTGGAAAAGGTTTTGGTTGGGCAAACCATCTCAGTGCAGTCGGAATAGCACATCATAGGTTTCCAAGCTGTGGTGGAGATGGTAGCTTTTGTGTGTGTTTCATCACCCTTTACTGTATTTTGCTGGCATTTCTGCTAAAAGGACTTGGCTATGCAGCAGGAGAAGGACTGTTTCTTGCATTGTCCTGTCTGCCACTGAATATTGAGTCTGAGTGAGCTTTTTTGGGGGGTGAGGCAAAGACAGTGTCAGAAAACACCTGAAAAAGAACATTTGGGGAAGTTTCCCAGTGGAGGAGTTAGGCAGGAAGGAGACAGCGAGATGGGATTTTATAGCACAGGTAGGGATGTGGAGAAGAGTTGTAGAAAGATTCACATCGGAGTTTCAAAGAGGAAGAGAAAAGGAAAATTTCCCAGGCATCCAAAGGAGCCTCTGTAGCTACAGATCGTTGTAACTTTGGGAACCCCCGCTGGACTGAGAACTAGGGAAGAAGAAAGGCTGCGCCATGCACAGACATAATGAGCAGGGAGGAGACTTGTTTGCAATTTTCATGTCTCACCCAGCAGAACTGAGTTTTCTTTAACTTGCTGTAGTCTGCAGTCCAATAACACTACATTTGAAGATCGAAGGGGCGGCTGGTTTTGGACGGGCTCTAAGTGAAGGTAGGAGCAAGTCCATCTTACTCCTCTGAATACCTAAAGGTCTTGTCACAAGGACGTTCAGATATAGAGGTGGGCTTGGAGAGGCAGTTATGTTTTGTGCCATTGAAGGTTTCTTTTCCCAGAGCTATGTTACAGAATTTTATTTTCATACCAAACTGGGAAATTTGGGGATGTATCTTACCTAAGACTTTGAGCTTTTGGTCTGCAGGAATCTTGCCAATATCTTAAAGGTTATAGAGGCTATGAAATTGAAGCAAACAACTTAAACCTTTGAAGCTTTACAGCCAATCTGGGGTAAAAAACCTGCAATGTACCATTTTATGTCCTTTACCATAGCTAGCAAATCTAACAGTATTTTTTACTTTCAGACTTAGTCTACCTGAGAGTACCCTTGTCAGTAGATAGGAATATTTTTCCAGAAATAATATTGAGGTAAAAAAAAATCCTGCCAAAGGATGTTTATGTTTTCATAGAGGCCCTTGTCACAACTGGAGGCCATCGTGCAGGTTTTGTGTACCTGCATCCTTTAGAAGACTACTGAGTTATCCCATTCAAGCAGTTACCAAGTATATGAATGAAATTTAAGGAATGAAAGTGTTACCTGCAATTTTTGTGTTAGTGCTGGACTGACACTAATTATGTTATACTTTCACTGCTAAAGGAGGTTTCTCTTGCAATGTGGAGGACCCTATAAATACATTGCTGAAAACCCTGGTTGTATAAATGCTTGTGATAAAGTACTTTGTCAAAGGTCACAGAACAAGTCTGTGACACTGTGAACTTAGCATAGATCTTGTTTTGGTATTAAGGCTTTAATTTTGGCAGTAACAAGAAAGGAAATTTTATGAGTAAAGACCTCCCGGGCGTTAGCTAAGAAGAAAGAGAGGAAAAGATTCCCCCTCAAACCCACCATGGCTTTGGTAAAAGACTAGTGGAAATACTGATCATTAAGATACCTTTCTAGTTCACACGTGTGTAATTTGAAAGAATAAAATGAAAGCTTTGGTGATCTGTACGTTGGCATGTTTGCATTGCTGCCAGAACTGTTTTCGCTGAAAACAAGATGAAAGGTTCGGGTGTAAGAAACTGGTAATAGTAACAGTTTACTAATCACTGCTATAGGTCTGGTGTATGTTAAATTCAGGTATACGGCTTGCCTTAAAGAATAAGGTGCCCAGTAGATATCCATCTATGTGTGTGGCTATAGATATATATATATTTAATAGCACATTTAGCTTGGCAAAACAAGTAAATTTGGTCAATGAGATTCTTCAGTAACTTCCCTGAGATCACTCATGCTTTCCTTTGCCAGACTGAAAGGGTTAAGAGTTAGTTTGAATACAGCAAGAACCTGCTGGTCTTGCTGGAGCTGATTGCTTTGCTTTTTCTTCTTCTTTTCTTTTTTTTTTTTTTTTTCAGCAGGGGAATGTTTAATCATGCCTCTCCGTTTTAAAGATAACTTTGTGGTTTTCCCTGGAGTGACTTTTTTTTTTTTTTAGAATGGCTAATGAGAGGGACAAACCTGAAAAGGCAAGAAATGTTTAATTAGTGCCTTTTCTTCTGGCTAGCCAACAGTCCTAACCAGATGCCTTCACTTCAGAGACATCCAAGTAATCAGCCTGGTAACATCACTGCATTGCACATCAGGCACCTGGCAAGTTGAACACTAACTGTATCCCAGAAAATGTCTGCTAAGGAAGGCTACTTCTGAAAATAATTTTTAAAACCTGATAGCAAACCTCA